TCTCGTAAATTGAATATAACGTGAATATATTTAAGAAACAGAACGACAAAAATCTAGATGAAAACAACGTCGTAAACATATTTTTGTTCTGAAATCAATCAAAAACTTGTTGACAATGTTGTCGACCACAAAGTACAGCTACGGTAAAACGTCCATTCGTCATTTATCTGTATGGATCAAAAATTTAAATGGTATTTTATTATTTTAATTTTATATTATAATTGTATCTTTATGCTTTGATCTTTTTTTTTCCTTGTATATCTATTTCAGACGTCGCCAGATCGACTTCATGTTTCCATACATTATCCACATGTCATTTTCCAATTGCACCTTCAACATTAGTAAAAAATTCAGCTAATAATAATGCGATACATAAATCTGTTGCACAAAGATCAACATTATTATCACTCACAAATAATTTTCTATCAGACCCTATAATAACAAGAATATGTCGTCAAGCATCAACTGATACAGTATGGAATGAAACATCATTACCAGAAAGAATAAAAACATTAGATGAATATAAAGCAATTTATTCATTATCAATTAAAGATCCAACTCGTTTTTGGAAAATGGCAGCTGAACGTTTAGATTGGTATCGTTTTCCAACAAAAATAAAAAATACAGAATTTGATTATCGTACTTCACGTGGTGTTGATATTAAATGGTATCAAGATGGTATAATAAATGCTTGTTATAATTGTCTTGATCGTCATATTCATCATGATCATAGTATTGCTCAACAAGTAGCACTTATATTTGAACCTGATACACCAACTGAATCTCGACATCATCTAACATATGCTGAACTTTTACGTGATGTTAAAAAATTTGCTAATGTACTTAAAAAACATGGAGTTCAAAAAAGAGATCGTGTTACAATATATATGCCAATGGTAGTTGAAGCGTGTATTGCAATGCTTGCATGTGCACGTATTGGTGCAGTACATTCAGTTATATTTGGCGGTTTCAGTGCAAATAATGTTGCTGATCGTATATCGGATTGTGAGTCAACGGTTGTTATAACAACTGATTTTGGTGTACGTGGTGGAAAATGTTCACCATTAAAAAATAAAATTGATCAAGCTTTAAACCTAAAACAATGTAGTAATGTTAAAACTGTGCTTGTTTTTGAAAGAAATCATGGTATGACAGAATTAAAAGATGATTGTGCTGATTTGCGTGACTCACTTGAATGGACAGAAGGAAGAGATTTTTGGGTACATAAAGAAATGGAAACAGTTAATGATAAATGTGAACCCGAAAGAATGAATGCCGAAGACCCATTGTTCATTGTAAGTTTAATGAGTCAGAAAGAAAAATGAAAACAAAAAACAAAAATTTATTTATTAATTATAGCTTTATACAAGTGGCTCAACAGGTGCACCAAAAGGAATTATTCATACAACAGGTGGTTATTTAACGTATACTAGTTTAACGTTTAAATACGTTTTTGATTATAATCCCGGTGATGTATATATGTGTACAGCTGATATAGGTTGGATTACAGGTCATTCATGTAAATACAAAAAAAAGAAAATTTTTTTCATATCGTAATCGATATTTAATAAGACATATTTAGATGTTGTTTATGGACCATTAGCAAATCGAGCTACAACTGTTATATTTGAAGGTGTACCAACATATCCTGATGTATCACGTTATTGGAATATTATTGATAAACATGAAGTAAATATTTTCTATACAGCACCAACAGCTATTCGATCATTAATGCAACATGATGATACATATGTAACTAATACAAGTCGTCAATCATTAAGACTTTTAGGTAGTGTTGGTGAACCAATTAATCCTGAAGCATGGAGATGGTATCATTCTGTTGTTGGTAAATATTTTAACATTGTTCAATTACTTATTTAGCTTTTGCTTAATTTTTCTTTGTAGGTGATCATCGATGTCCAATTGTTGATACATGGTGGCAAGTAATATTCAAAAATTTATTTTTTATTTTTATTCTATGTTTCATATTAAAAATGTTTTGTATTTGAAATAGACTGAAACAGGTGGTATTATGATTTCACCTTTACCAAATGTTTGGGAGTTAGAGCCAGGTTCAGCAACACTTCCATTTTTTGGTATTCAAACACAATTATTTGATAAAAAAACCAAAAAACCATTAGAACCACCAAATCAAGGTGAATTATGTATTGCAGATTCATGGCCAGGACAAACACGTAGTCTTTATCGTAATCATGAACGTTTTGTTGATGTTTATTTTAAAACATATCCTGGTTATTATTTTACTGGTGATGGTTGTGAAATAAAAGAAAATGGTTATCATTGGATAACTGGTCGAGTTGTTCGTAGATGAAAATGTATTTATTTCATATGCAATTAATTATTTTGCTGTTTTTTTTTAGGATGATGTACTTGTTATATCTGGACATAATATTGGTACAGCTGAAGTTGAATCAGCACTTGTACAACATGATGGTGTAGCTGAAGCTGCTGTTGTTGGTTATCCAGATCCAAAGAAAAATCAAGGAATGTATTGTTTCGTTACATTAAAAGATCATGTTGAACCGAGTGAAGAACTTCGAAAAGATCTTATACGAAGTGTACGTGATATAATTGGTGCACATGTTTATCCAGATGTAATACATTTTACATCAAATTTACCTAAAACACGTAGTGGTAAAATTATGCGACGTATTTTACGTAAAATAGTTGAACCTGATACAAGTAATCTTGGTGATATATCAACATTAAATGATCCAGCTATTGTTGAAGAATTAATCAACAATTCTCCACGAACAAAACATCCGCAATGAAAATCAATATCAAAGAGACTCATCTGTCTTCTTTTTCCTTTGTTAGTTTTGCCTTAAATAATCTTTGTATTTTCTTTAGTTATATACGGAGTTCTATTTTAGTATCTGTAAATATATAGCAAATTTGTCAATGATAACAAGAATATTCCAACTTTTAGATATGAAAGATAAAAATAGAACATTTGTTTTGAATTCTAGTCGCTATAAGATACATGTATATGTACTTAGAGCGTATGAAAAGTAATAGTTTTGACAGATATATTTCCATAGGAAATAATTAATCAAGTTTTTTAACTAGTAGCCATGCTTAATTGCACATAATCAATTTATTTGAAAGTGTTTATTGAATCTGTTTGTCAAATAATCTTTAATTAAAAAAATTCAATATTTGATTACGACACTCCATGCAGTAATTAGAAGCCGTTTGATTGATGAAATTTATCAATTATATTGAATATTTCAAAAAATACGTAGTACTTTATCTGTAAAATAAGGTGAGTATAAAATAATTATCATATATTCTGACACAGGATAGTAAAAATATCTTTATGAATATATAGTAGGACGTTGTCATAATCAATTTCAATATCTTGAGCATTGACTAGAACAGGACAGACTCTAGCAGAACTCGATGATCTTTGTCTTCTCACTCCATTAATAAGTAGTTTAAATGATTAAAAGCCTATCTTCTTTTCATATCTATCAATTTTTGTTAAAGAGTATTTATGATAAGTTGTTTTTTGAAAAGACATTAAAAATTGTTTTGAAGTTTAATTACTGCACTTATCTTTCACCAATGGAGACTGTTCAATTGTGCTTCTTCTATTTCAAAGAGTCTTAACCGATCTATGTGCGACATATTTAGAATTGGTTACTTACTATCACTTCGTACATTCTCTATATTTCTTTAATTAGCCATGTTCAACAAAATGAGATTTATTGAAACAGTTACTGATTGCTATGATGCATTTTTAATCAACAATTATTTGTAAAATACTACCAACACGTGTTATCAAACAAAATAATTATGTATTATTAAGTATAGCTACTAGCTTAAATATGTGCTAGAATCAAAACATAATTAACTATTTCTTATAGACTTTTATCTGCCAAAACTACTACTTTTAGTATACCTTCAGTAATAAGCCATTGCATCAAATTACAACAATTAACATATACGGATTATGAGTTTCTTTGAGCATTGGACAACGTCCCAAAAAACACGGAAAATTGTTCTTTTTCTAGAAGAAACGAATTATTAATAAAGCAGAAATGCTAACACTACTTGTACCTTTATAAACAGAAGTTGAACAGGTTTCAATAATGTCGGTTTGAGAATTGAAAAAAGTATGAAAGAATAGTAAATGTTACACATATGTTTATGTAGTGAAACATTTCTTTTTACGAGAGAACAATTTCTCTATCGACTGGTTCGATTATCCACTGATGGTGTCTTTGATCATCTGGCATTAAATTGATGAATACACATTGAATGTGTTTCTATTTATGGATAATTCTTCGATTTTCTAGATTGAAAACAAAAACAAATTAATCATGCGTAAACATATTTTTTATATTCGTATCATTAAGAGGACCTTGCCATCATTCATGTGACTTACTAATTAAAGAAACATTCTTTCAATATTTTAAAATTTTCAAAACTAAAAAACATTAGTGAAACAAATTCTATCATATAGGTTTTCTTATTTAATCTTCTCTCTTTTATATTTCATAATAAATGTTCATTAATATTCCACAGCATTCTTTTTCTTTGTTGTTATATATATAATAAGGAAACATTCTATTCTTTTCATGATAATAAAAACAGTAGTTATATTAGATAATTACTAGACATAAGTTGCATGCAAGATAATACAATCAAATATTTTTTTTCGTTTTTACATATCGATTTTACCATAATAAATAACATATATGAATCATATCGTTTTGTTAAATAGACTATTTTTATTTATAACATTGATTTTTAATAAATAGCAAATATCCATTGTTTAAGTTCATAAAATACCTAACGTATTTTCTGATTTTTTTTATAAAAAAATAAAAACAAAAAAAACCACTGTCACGATTAAGTCAACTTGTATGAAAATTATCAGCAAAATGGAATTGAATAAAAGAGATATAAGCACATACTGTTTATGAGTAAGAATAACAAATCATGGAAAAAACAAAACATAAAAAGCAAACCACTTATGGTAATTTCGTCAAATTATAAGTTTTAAAAAGTTCCTGTGTTGTGCGTTCAATAGTATTACATGCTTGTACTATTTCATCAGTGTATGTATTAATTTCATCAGTACTTCGATCTGTGAGCAATTTATTCACAAGTTCTTGACGACTCGGTAGTGTTAATTTAATGGCACCCATAATCCTAAAACAAAAGTAAAATTTTTGTCTACTGAGTTACTTAATTTTTATGATATTTTATTTAGATTTCAAAAATGGTACAAACTATCTAAAAATGTTTGTGCACATGAACACTTCTTTTTCAAAGTTTTCTTTTTTTTGAAACACAATATAAAAGGAGCATTGAAGGATAGAGTTGAAAATCTCAAGCTCGTCCTTATTGACCGCTTATCAATAGCATCTGTTTATAATCTATGAACTATTTTCTTATTACATGTATGAAGCATTAAGTACAAAATTGAAAAAGAAATATGTCCCAAAATAGAGAGAACAAAAGAACTTGTCTTTGACTGGTGATAGTAACTGCATCGTGTTTCGCATTTAATCTAGCAGGAATTACAATAATAGCTTTCCTTTTCTTCTCAAATTAAGATTCGAAATTTACCGGTCATTTAGTACATTTCTCTTATAAAAATGTTTTTTTTCGTTTGCTAGAATTAGCAAAATTTTAAAAATAAACAAAAGCAAATATTCTCATACGTATATCTAACAGGCCATAAATGGAATTGTGCAAGTGTTGCTGAATATGCATTGCAAGCAATAGTTGCTGAACTAGCATCATCTGGTGCCAAACGCATTTGAGTTAAAAATGCCGAAAGAAAAGCAAGTGCACGATGTAATCTCAATAATGTTCGACATCCATTATGTAATGGTTTTCCAGGTACAATAAATATTGATGTATCTCTTGATTGTATGCGTCCTGATTCAATTTCATATAGAATCATTGATTGGATAGAATCATAATTAATTGGGTCAAGACGTATGTGTTCTCTTAACATAATTAGTTTACCTGATAAATCTTTTGTTGCCCATTCAAATACAGTACCGAGAGAACAAACAAAACTAAAAAGAACAAAATATGAATACGGTTTTTTTTCTCTTTAATCTTACGTGCATAATTCTTCATAAGCACGAACATATTCACTAAGTATAAGTGTATTATCAGGTTGAACACAATTAACAAATGCATCCCGAAGTATTTTTAAATCAAATTTTTTTTTCGGAGTTTCAATTGGAACTTCAGATGAATTTATTGTTGTTTCACATGGTGTTGTCATATTTGATGCTATTTGTGTATCTGGTGCAGACGACATTGATTCCTATTTTATATCACAGTTTGATTTTGTTTTTTTTAAGAAAGAAATTTATCTGAAAACAAATATAAAAAGATATAAATCGAACTTATTCACAGTTAGTTTTTTTTTAATTATTATTTAAATGTCATCATCCATTTTTTCGTTGACATTCGATAAAACAATGGATTCCATGTCAATATCATTAACCTCAAGTGGTTTTGAAAAATTATTATTATTATTAGTGTTACTTGATGATGTTGATGGAAAATCAAAATATTCAGTTATTTGTATTGATGGTTGATTTGATTGTAGTATAGACTTCGAACAGCTGGCTGAAGAGTCAGTCACACTGAAAGAAAAACTAGTATGAAATAAACCATATATTATTATTATGCATCATACGACATAATCATTTACGACAAAAAAAGTTATTTCTTTGCTTTTTTTTCCGTCCTTTTCTTCAAAATATATTGCCCGATTATATCAAGGTGAATCATTGACATTTCACAAACAAAATATTGTGTGGGCGCATGTTTCATTTATAATGAATAACGTCATATTATTGAATCATTAAAGAAATATATCAAGTTGCTATCAAAATACAAAATCAGTTTTTAATATTCATATATAATAGATAATAATTTCAAAATACAATCATCAATGACAGATGTCTTAGAGTAGGTTGCCCTAAATATTCGTGCATTTTTTTCTCTTTCATGCTTTGCATACAAAATTTTCTGTATATACAAAAACATAGAATTTCAAGCAGTGCAAAACTGTTAATATTCTTTTTCAAACAAATTTAATATTGTCGACAGCAAATTTTTAAGACTCATGTCTACTCAGTTATTTCATTGTGATTTGTTGTTTTCTGCTAATACCTATTTATTTTTATAAAGCCAATGCATACAAGAAAATGTTGTTTTTTTTATGATTAAGACACGAGAGAAAACTGCATTGAGATTTAATGCAATTTCTTCTGTAACATCCTTTATTACTAATTGAAAACAAAACTATAGCTTGAAAACTAATTATTTTTCTTGAGATATTTGAGATTTATCTACAAAAACAATTTTGGAATAATTCAAAAATAGCCATCTAAAATTCAAATTAATTTTAATATATTCTAATGAATGATGAATAACGAATGAGACTGCAAGTATTTTGTTAACATATCTCCTAATTTTCAAGTTTGATTTATTTATTGTAAAATCTAATGAAAATGGCTGTGAAAAATGATAACTAGACCAAGTATATTTAATTAGGAGTGTTATATTCGAAAAAGATCAAGTTTCAAGCTTTTCGTATAAAGCATAATGTTTATTATTCCTTATTTTTGTTTTTAGGGATTTTTTTTTATATAAGTTTATTTCATTAAGTTAACTAGACAAGTAATATGGATTCAGATTTATTATTGAATTGAAGAAAAGGATTCTTCTATGATTTAGAGCCGAGTCAAATGGTGATAAAGCTTATTTTCTATAATAAATAAATCGATTAAAGAGAAATATCAACAGTTTCAACTTGTTTTTTTTTTCAAAGAAGATTGACTAGTGAAGAGGGACAAGTTTGTTTGAAAATATGTCTTGAATTCTATTTAAAAGAGTACATCTGACAACATAGAATATCAAAGAATTTCATAACAGAAATAGTGTTTGAAAGTGAACTGTTTTAAAATAAAGCGTTTCTAGTTATCCTTTTGCAAAGTCATATTTATTGGATTTTACAGGATGTTACGCAATATCGTTTGATAAATGATTCCAGTTAAAACTTCAAAAACTACTGAGACAATCATATTTCATGCGTCACTCCCAAATATACAGAATCTATCGGTGTGCGTCAACGTGCGTTGAAGAAAAATGTTTCAAGTTTGAAAAAGTTATTGTGTATAGAAAAATTTTCCATTTAGAAATTTGAATAAAGAAAAGTCTATTGTCTAGTAATAAGAAGATAAACTTCGTATACATCTTCTTTTTTTAGCTTTATAATATAAAGTAAATCGATTTCTCTTTCGTTTTGTTCGAATATGTGAATTGGTACTTTAAAATATTATACTTTTTTTTTCTTTAAACAATCTCTCTTCATCATCGGAACTTCTTTCGATTTTTTTTTCAATTTATAATTTAATGAAAACTTATTATTGACATGTTTCGAATTAATTCTAATTCTTTAAACATCAAATCTATGTTTTGTTTGGTTTTTCTTTACTTACACAGGTGTACTTGGTTCAACAATAAAATAATCTGATTCTGTCGGACATAATGAATAATCATTTGTATCATTTTTTAATTCAATTACTGAAAGATTGCTATTATATCTTACGGATTGAGAATAACTCCTATATATAAAAAGGAAATAAAAGAAAAACTTTCGTTTAAAGTAAAAATCAATCTTTATATTCGAACCTTTTCATTTTTGAAGTTCGTTTAGTTGTATTTTCAGGTGGTTCTTCAACTGTATAAGGTGTTGGTGGAAATGGTCGCTTGAATAAAAGATCATCATCTTCTTTTTTTACTGGCTTAACTATAATAGGAGATGGATTTTGATTTTGATTTTGATTTTGATTTTCTTGTTCTTGTTCTTTTTCGTCCATTGATGGATTATTATTATTATTATTATTATTGGCTTGCAATGAATAAATTGGCATATAAGGTACAATTTGCATAGAGAGTTTCTTTCTGAAAATCTAAGATAAAAAAAAACAAAACTTTTATTTCAAGAGTTTTATCTCACCGTTCAAAATCATAAAGTTTATTAATTAAACTATCTTGTAAATCATCTTTTCTTAAATTATCTTTTAATAATTTATGTAATTCAAATCGTGTTCCTCTTCGAGATACATTATCTGTTTCATTTTGATTAGTATTCTCTTCTCTAACGAACAGAAAAAAAAAATAACAACAACAAACGATTTTCAACGAACAACAAAAAATTAATCAAGCATGTTCATACTCATCGTCTTGTAAATCATGGAAAATTGATGCATTTTTATTTTCAGATAAATCTAATGAAAGTGTTTGCATATTTTTAATTAATATTTCTTCGGTTATAAATATTTTATTTTGACATCTAATTAATAAATTAAAATTTGAATATAAAAAGAAGCAATTCATTTCTTTTTTAACTTGTCTTCAAAATCATTCGCATCTACTTTACGTTTTCGATAGCCTCTATTGGACCAAAAACTAGATGGATTTGTTCGAATACTATTAAAAGAAAATAGATTATTCACATATAAATTTTCAAATGTTTTTCCTACTTTGAATTATTAGCAGTCATCCGTGATGATGAGTCCATTGTTGTCTAGATCAAAAAACTATATGCGACTATAAAAGAAGAACATAAATATATACATATTCACAAAATAACTAATCGATTGTAGGCATTAGAGCACATACAATTATACCTGTCATTCTATTCATCAATATTCTCAATAGACAGAGGGCGACATATGACGGAAGAGACATCGCATGCTAAATTTTTATCAAAAAAAAAAAAGAAACATCAGGTCTTATATGTTATTGAATAATAAATCGAAGATAATTGATGTCTTCTTCCAAAAAGCAAACGTTAGCCTTAATCACATATGTTTCATCTGTTCACTGAAGTTATTACGAAATAATTTCATATGATTTCACCATTCTTACGCAAGAACACATATATTCATGAAGTCTCTAATATATAAAAACGAAGACATGTTGTTAGTTGTGAAATTCATTTTTTTTAAATAGAATAGCTTATTTTTTTATTAAATGGCTTTCAATAGTCTAGACGATGAAAAACCAAATTTACGGCCAACTAAATATAATAGTGCTAGAGGTAAAAGTCTTTATTTACATCATAATCCTAATAAACCATCGACAAAATCATATATTCATGCAACGTGGAAAAATATCGATAAAAAATTAAATGAATTTTCTTTTGATAAACAAGATCTATTTGGTATTGAACAACCTCATATTGAATACTCATTAAATAAACAACAACGATGGGATATTTTAAATGATGTTCGTCAACAAATTGCTAATAAATCAAATTCATCGTCAGATAATGAGCTTGATATCCATTCTAATTCGGAACAAAGACGAAAAAAGAAAAAAACTAGACGACAATATTTAAATGCACATGAAACAAAATATCGTTTATATGAATTTCATCAAATTAAACACAAAACTAATTGTATAGGAATAACTAGTAATACAAAACAACGACATATACAAACACCTAGAAAAACTTATATGAATAAATCAATAAATAATATTAAAGCAGAAGAACAAAATCATCAGAATAATGATAATAATACAACAAAAGAAGTTACTCTTAATATAACTTATTTTGCTGTAGTTCCACCACCACGAGACAAACAATTAGTGAATATTAAAAATAACCATAGTACAAAAAGTAATGACATTCATACACTTGTGTTAAAAAATATCTTCTAGTTATCTGTTATAGGAAAGAACCCAAGATCATGTACACAACGTGATAAATTTATTGAAGTAAAAGAACGATTCGATATTGAGGAACAATTGAAGAATGAAAAAGAAAATTTATCCACGGATGACGATGAATCTATAATATCAGTAAATGTTCAAACGTCTTTCTTTTTTTCTACTAACTTCATTTATTCAATTTTAGTACTATACTTCCTTAAAACCTGATGATTTACAATTAAATGATTTCATTCCTATCACATCAATCGATGATAATAATAAAACATCTTTTGAATCTGAAAACTCTGATCAAATCAATAAATGTCATTCGAATTCATTACATATTGATAGCGATGAAATCGATTCGTTGAGACAAAAAATTCGATTGCATCGACAAATAAGTAACAAAAAAACACTTTATTATCAAGAGATGACTACATATGGAGGAATGGTATGAATATATATTGAAATTGTTGCTCGTCAACAATTAATTTCTTTTTATTTTCAATAAATTTAGCAACGAAAACCTGATGAAACAAATAAATCAAGAACAAAATCTTCTCATGATTTAATGTCATTATCATTTCGTACGATTTTTTTACACCAAACAGATTTAAATAATGAACATCTATCAAAAACTTATGGAAAAAATTTTCTTCATGCTCAATCTTATCCAACAAGATATTTAATTTGTCTTACAGATCGTTTAAAATCATTTCAATGGTCAAATAAATTTAATTCTTCTTCATTTTATCCAACACTTAATTGTTATCTTATTATTGTATTAAATGATAATGAATTAAATAATGAAAATAATATTTGTCAAGGACAAGTTGCTGTTAATATGGATTTAAAAACTGAGACAATAGATATTGAAAATTTATCTCAATCAAAAGACATAATTTATAATATTGATGAATTAATTAATAAAACAATTGAATTTATAACAAATATATCATTAGATAAATTCAAACAAATTAATTCAGAAATCAATCAAAGAAAATTTTATGGAAATCAAACAGATAATCAATTAAGTGAAAGTGAATTTATTAATAAACAAATTCATCAAATACATTTATTAGATAAAAATGATTTACAAAATAAATTAAATATTGAAGTATCAAATAATAATAATTTAATTCAACCAGAAATTTGTACAAATTGTTGTTGTGATATGAATGAATTAACACCAATGACAGCATTAAAATCTTGTTCACATTGGTTATGTAATCAATGTTGGAAACAATATCTTGAAAATTCAACTAAATCTACTCGACTTATACGTTGTCCAGAATGGAATTGTTGTTCACTTGTTGATATTGGTAAGATTTTTTCTCAAGTTTTATATTTCATTTCAAATTTAATTTATCAATTAATCAGAATTAGACATGTATCGATTATTGAGTATTAGGTTTTGTAATATTTTTGCACACTAAATAGTTAATCGTGAAAACAAACAACTTGAAAGATTTTATCGGTATTTTATCGGTATAGAAGCGTCAGACATAGAAGATACTAAAAAAATTGAATAACAGTATTTCGATCCTAGACTTTGCCTATAGATAGATCTTTTTGTTAATACAATGTTCTGAAAATTTCATCTCTAAAGAATGTTTCCCTGCTAAAATATTCAAGCTTCGAAAATCACGCATATATCCTCGGAAAATGTTAGAATTTTCTTTTTTTGTGAGCGACTCTAACATCTTGGGAAAGACATATTCTTTTGAGCTGAAGTTTTCAAAACACTATACTGATGCATAGATTTGTCTGTGCACAAAGTCTCAGATCGAAATACCGCCATTCGATTTGTTAGTATTTTCCATGCCCAAGGCTACAATTCTAGTAAGATATCGATAATTCTGGACAGAAAGCCTAAGGGAACTTACTTCTTTGAAGTTTTTCATATCTTATTGAATCATACCTTATCCGCAGAGAGTTTAATTCAAAAATGATTGGTCCGCTGAAAACGATGTGGAGATGTTGATTGAATCCGAAGAAGGCATTGAATAAAAACTGAAATAGGAAAATGTTGATGAAATCAAATCATCGTTTATATTAAAACAAACTTCAAAAAAGTAAAATCTTACGGTGTGGATGCATGAATGTCATAAAAAAGAAGGAGGACATTCATACTCATACTTTTCATTGATTTTTTTTTTATTATATGCTTATTAATAGATATTGTGTTTTGTTGAAAATGGAATCTTCTCTGCCATGATTAACTTTAGCTTTCACGTAATATCTTAATTGATTTGAGATCAGTCTAGGCGGGTACAATATTAGATACTAACAAATACTGTCGTTTTGACAATGTTGTCAACGTTGATTCACATCATAAAGATGAGAATTCGAAATAAATTCAAGTATTTTGGTTGTGTTCGGTATGACTCATAGAAAAAATATTGATTCATTTTGAGATTCGTATAGGAATTTGCTTGGATTAATATCACACAAAAAAAAGTAAAGAGTTTTCACAGATTAGTCACAGGATTATGCAATACCAATACTGTTGCTACTAAAATTTTATATTCTTATCAAATCAGTAAGTTTAAACGATAATCAATCTACAAGTTTATTTGATATTTGCGATTTTTTCATAATAAATATTTTTAATTGTCGAATATTATTTATAAATAATAATGTTTATCTGTTTAGGTACAATTTTATCTTTGGTTAATGTTCGTTGTATGAATATCTATGAACGTAATTTAGAAAAATGTCTTGTAAATTTATCGCGATCATACATTAGATGCCCATCAAAATCATGTTCGATTATTCTTCATGTTATTGATTCCGGAATGGGTTATATTCGATGTCGTTGTGGTCATCAATTTTGTATTGATTGTAAACAAGAACCACATTTTCCAGCAACATGTAGTTCTTATAAGGCATATTTAGATGAACTATATCAAAATGGTGATTCAATTTCTGATTACAATGCTAAAGTTATAGTTAGAGGTCGACATTGTGTATCATGTAATAATTTTATTGAAAAAAATGGTTAGTTTTCATTTCATGAATAAAAAAGCAAATCATTTAATAAGAAAATAAATTTTTGTTTTTATATCAAATTTTAGGTGGTTGTAATCATATGACATGTAGATGTGGTGCTGAATTTTGTTGGCTTTGTACTGCTTATTGGAAAGATCATTTTTCATCTAGTGGTGAATTTAAATGTCCAAAACAACAAATATCAATTCAAAAGAAAACTTTAACTAAAGAACGTAATCCATCTCGAAGACTTTATGAACATGCACTTTATCATCGAAATGAACGTGCTTATCAAAATCAAGCAAAACAAAATAACAATGTTAAGCGTCTTATTGGTACAATACCATTAGATAGAGGAACTTTTTTTGACACTACACTTATTAAATCACAAATTGATAAACGTGAAGCACTTTTACAACATTCATATGAAATGGTTAAATATGTCAGTAATTTACATCGTATATGTGAATTTGTTGCTGTAGCTGCTGATGGTTATGCCGATAATCCAATTGAGTTTATTAATAGTTTATATCCACTTGAAACTCTTATTTTTAATATGAGTCAAATATTCGAAAGTGGACGTAGTTATCAAGCTATTGAACAATTGAATGATTTACATAAAAAAAGTGAAAAATTAATTGAACGTCTTTGTCATGCTGTTATGTTTCGTAAAATATATGGAACCAATAAAATTGGATATGTAACTTCTTAAGAGACAAAATAAAACCAAAAAAAAAGTTGTTTTTTCTTTTTATTATTGAAATACATATATTAACTAATCAAACTCACACAGACAAATGCAAGAGATACATATCTGATGGATGTAAATATATAATAAACAGAATATCACCGGTAAATGAAAACAAAAAAAAAAGAAGAAAATTTTAAACCACAACTTCATAGAAAAGTTTTTTCATACGATTTGGTGTTGAATTACCACTTGATGATTGTTGTTGATCAAATGATGATGATCGTAATGTTGAATTTCCATTCATTAATGAATGATGTTTTGATGATGATGGAAAACCATAATGTGATATTGGTGGTGGTGTATGATTTGAAATTGTTTCATTATTAACAAATAAAATATTTGTATTTTGAGTTAAACAACTTAATTCAGATGATGGATTTGAACCTGATCGAGAACTACTTCCGCCATTATTTATTAACCAATGAGGTGATGCACGTATTGTTGCTGCACGATTTGCAGTACCATCTAAATATTATAAATGAAAAATTTTTCTTTGTCTTTTTTTCTATACAAAAAAAAACGATACAAAGACTCACATGAAGAACCAGTATCATGTACAGAGTTTTCATCTTTTGTTTGCTCTCGATCAACAATATCACCTATGAAATATATGATATATCAAATTTAATAAATATTATTAATCATAAAGATAATGATTTTAATTACATGAACGAGCAAATGAACTAGAAACTTTACGTTGTTGATATTCATTGCCTGAAAAATCATATGGAGATGCTTGAGAATTTGCATTACTGTATAATAAATAAGGATTTTGTAGACGAGGCTCAGAGATGACTCTAATAAAAATAAATTAAATATAGTTCAGTTTCTTTCTGTAATATTATATACTTACGGTTTAACACCGATTTCAAGACCACTAATAGCAACTACAAAAAAAACAATTCAAAAGTTTTATTCAAAGAAAATTAATAGAAAATATTCAACTAGTCTTTTCAGCTATGAACAGATTTTGTCTTATTTGAAAAGAAAATCTTTTAATAAACATATTCAAAGTGAATTTCTCAAACGTTTACTTCTAGTGAAAACTGATTTTTCTTTTTTTTTGCAATCAGAAATGTCCCTCACCGACAATAAACAATTACTATGCACAACAATGGTATTCAAAAAGAATGTTTCAAATATTGTAATTACAACTCGTTAACTTAGTCCCTGACCAACCCAATGGACCATACTCTAAAACTAAAACAGTCAATTATGATCTGATTATTATAATGGGTGAAACGTGTTAGTATCAGAATTTTGAATGATTATAAGAGTTGAGTTTTTGACCTATACAAACTAGTGTTATAATAAAAAAAAAAGAATTTAGCTTCCTATTGAGATTTGATTAAGCTATTGAATTTTTTAATATCTCTATTTTTGCAGGACGCCACGTTTTTGGAAGACACGTATTTTACAATTTTCATCTAAAACAATGCATATAGAGAACTTAACCAAGCTAGCTTCTATGGTATCTTGAAAATTTCATATTTCGAAGAGACTTTCATTAAAACCTGTGAACTTTTTTATGAAGTATAGTCTATTTGAGTTCTCAAGATGCACAAAGCTTTAGACTCGAATTCGAAAATACAAGTTTTTCGAAAGCTTGGGGTCTTACAAAAAAAATAGGCATATTAAACATGCGATAGCTTACTGAAATCTTTCGAAGAATTCAACTTTTTTCTAGATTTTTAATTAGAATATTACGTAATACCTACATGCAAAGAATTGTTGAAATCGGAAGGGTACATCTAAGATTTCTTCGTTAGATTCGAAGAGCTCTAACAGTGATACTATTTAATTGATACATTTTTTACTAATTCATGGAATATCAAAATTCCGTACAAGAACCCTTCTCAAAATACAAGTCACATCGCCAAGATGACAGTACCATTGTAGACATCTCTGGTTCTAACTAATCAATATTTGTCATCATTGCCGTTTCACTATCTAATAGATGAAAGGATTGTAATACTAATAGCATATCGATTGTTCAAGGTATCACATCATATTTGAGTTAATAGATTCATAAAATACGAACGATCTCCTCATTATTTGGCAAAATCTGATAGGTACATATGTAATAATAATACTCCAATATATATCAACGATATGTTCTTTCATAAAATAAAAGAGTATAGTAACATAAAATTGTTCTTTTTTTTTCTTGACTCTGCGCTACATCAATTTATCTATTATTTGATTTTCGTATACTTACATTTATTTGTTTTATTTATATTTGATGCTAATCGATTTTTTCTCCAACGACAACATAATATTCCAAACAGAATTGAAATAATAAGAATAAGAAAACTAGATATAACAACAATACCAAGTATCACTGGTGCTGAATTTCGAGTAAATGAATCTAACAGAACAAAAATTTTTATCAAAAAAACTAAATCAAGAAATTCACAATAAAATAACCACCTTCTTTCATTTCAGTTTCTTGTCCACATATATGATGATATTTCCTTGAACAAATCGATAATTTTAAATAAGGAAATTCTTTTTCTATTATCCATTTTACACGATTATTATCTATAGTTAAACATTGATCAATGGATTGATAAGTATTTCCATCTTTTGATTGACGAATATTTAAACATAATTGTTGATGATTTATTTTTATTAAACGTTCATCACCAGGTAAATAATCAAAATGGAGTATATTTTCTTTTGTATTATATGATATAACACGTAATTGTGGTAAATCTAATAAAATATGCGAAAAAAAAGAAATAAAATAAAATTTCAATTATATTTTTAAAAACTTCTCAATACCATCCGATGTTATTATTGATTCCATTGTTTGTACAGCTGTTTCAATACTCCACGGACTTTCACCATGAATATTCTTTGATTTAATACGAAACATATACAATGAGGATTCATTTAAATCTAAATAATTACTTGAATTTATTTATTTTTGTATAATATTAAATGTTTACCTTTAACAATATATTCATGTGTATTATATGGTAATTCTTGATTAATAATTGTTGTATTAAATGTTGTATTTTTATCATGTAAAATAACTTCAACTAAAAATCGTTGTGGTCCAGCACCGCCATCAAACGATGGAGAAAATTGTATTTTAAACGATGATGATGTTATTTCTGATACACGTATATCATATGGAGTTTCGGGTTTACCTTAATTAAAAAAATAAATAAACATTTTCATCATTTTAAACATAACGAACGACTTCGAAATCCTGATTGAGATGTTCGTACAGTATTTTCCCACCCCAAAAATGTTGAACTTTTTGCAATATTCCTTATAGTCGCCTGAGAAATTCTGATAAACACGGAATTCTAACTCTGCTTCTGATAGATCGCTCGGAAGATCTTGATCATACAGTTGAATAAATGAACAGATTAAGCTGTAACTCATCTTAATATAACGCAGTGATTAAGGATGCATCAGACATCATTTACGCATGAGCATCTTTTTGACTTATCTCATTATGTCTGAAAATCATTTACGAACGAATGTTTCTAAGTTTCTAATCGTTTTTGAGTCGTAACAATATGCATCATGTAGGTTCTAACGAGCTGTGAATATTCTGAAAAGAGTTTAGGCTAATAGCTTATTACCATTGAAATACTGTATTGTTTAGGAAAGTGTCGCGTCCTTCTCAGGACAATTCAGTGCCCAATTGTGACTCGATATACACTAACCTCGATGAGAACAGTTTATGATAAAAGCATGGTTTTTCCATGCCGCTTATATACAATGACAAAGTCCAATGTTCTCACTTCAGAATACGTGCAAACAAAAACCCTTAAATTATCACAAAAGGGGAATCTCGTTAAAGCTGACTTATTTCTGTACAAATTTTCAAGTCAAAACTCAGTTTTCCTAACTAAAAGCGATTTCACACTTAGAAATATTCGTTTTTTTTAGTAGAAGAATAATAAACTAAAACATATCCCACAAATATTGAAATATCGAAGCATCTATACATTTCGAAATATTTATATTATGTCGTATTTTATAGAACAATCTTCTATTCAGATTGTACATTTGTTTGTACTACGGAGAATAACTATCGGTATTTCGGTGTTTTTTTTTGTTTTAATTCAAATTACATCGATATAAATATCAAGAAAACTAAATCGAAATCTTACCTCTTGATACAATTGTATATGTCCATTCTTCTCTTCCTAATAAATTTTCAGCTATACATTGATATGAACCAAAATCTTTTTGTGTTATATGAAATAATCTTAAAAAACATTTATCATCTACTATTTCATCACAATTCATAATTTGTTCATTTCGTTTCCAAAAAATATGTGGTCTTGGTTGTCCTGATACACGACATATTAATGTTATTGTTTGTCCAATTTCTGCTGCTATTTTTGAATATGTTGTTTCTAATATTGGTCGACTTTGTACAATAACTTCAATTATACTGGAACCGTTTTGTGTAACATTATTATATAAACGATTATATATCATACATGTATATAAACCAGAATCATTTCTTTCAACATGATCAATACGTAAATCTGATAATTGATTTTGTCGAAATATTTCATAACCATTTTTAAACCATATTATTTGATATGGTGAAGGATTTGAATCAACATAACACCGAAGTATAGCAGAATTTGAACGATTTACAATTACACGAGATTCCATTGTATAAACACGTGGACCATCTTAACATAAAAAAAGAAAACATTGTAATCAAACAATTAGTATCATTTTTTTAAATCTTACATTGTACATCAAGATAAATTGATCGATTAACTTTGCCAATAGCATTTTCAACTACACATGTATAAACTCCACTTTGTTCAGATGTTAATCGTGATAAATAAACATTGATTTCACCTAAAGAGAATTGTAAATATAAATTCAACTTGAAGTTTTTGCGACTCCTCATCCTAGCAACAGAAAAAGACGGGTCAGTAATAACAATGTTTAGATTATTCTCAAATCTTCAAAAGGATTTTATGAATTTCAAAATTTTACTAAAGATTCGAAGTAGTCAAAATATTTTAGGTTTTAATATTCAATGTAGGACTATGATCTAAATTAATTCAATTCTAAGCTCTGACAAAATTTAATAATATATGTCAAAATTCATCGAGAGAAAAGATGATGAATAGACGATGGAATGTTTTGATTGTAGGATAAGTTCAACATTTAATGTTTCTTCTATTGAAATTTCATTTTGAAACATATAACAGTTAGTTCATTGACGAAATATTATTCAATATTTACTTATATGTAACTCAATGTGTCTCTAAAGACGTTTTCTAAGTCTGCTTGATTGAGAATATGTTTTTATTAACTGCTGAATAATTGAAGAAAAATATTTCCATTTATACAAAAATTGTGATGCACGACTGAAATTTACTAATCTGACGAAAGAGGAAAAGTCTTTGAGCCTATCCTAACTTTCGAAACGTAAAATCTAGATTAGAGTTTGGCATATCCAAACCTTGCGATTCTATCATCTCTGCTTATTGAACATAAGTTAGTAGTAAATACAATATTGACTAATCTTGTGACAATGTGTCATTTGTCACAATATGAAAATTGAATAGTAGTAGAAAATTTTTACAATAATTAGAGCCTATCACCAAAGTCTCGTGATTTCGCTACTTTCGAGATGATGTTTTCAAAAGTTTACTAAATGATTAAATTAACGTGTATAGTAGGCTAGTATGGTGATTGAACTAACAAAATGAAGAATGAAATGAGATTTGCTACTTTCTATGATATGTATCGTTTATATTGTCAACTATAAAAATTGTTATAATTTATATTTATTCAAATATTATTTTAATCCCTCTGACAAAATTCATAAAAGTTAAAGTTTGTGAGTTTCACACTTTAACTTTTCATGAGATCATATCAATAAATTGTTTTGTTTTTTTTTTTATACTTACGACTAATTATATTTGTATTATTAACTGTCCAATAAACTGATGTTACAGCTGGATTGGCATCTATTAAACATGTTAATCTTTGTTCATTTGATTCAATACCAATTAATTTTTCATTTGTTTTGAATAGAGATGGTTGTGCAAGAATTTCCACATATGGACGATCTATTTAACATATTCAATATAATGAAATCGTAATCATCAATTTTCATTTTAATAACATCTATACTTACATTTAACATGTAAATATTGTACAACACGTAGTGGGTTGGCAAGTGCTTGATTCGAAATTTGACATTCATACTTAACTTGATTATCAAAACGACTAACATTAAATGTATAGATTGAACTATTATCCGTCGTAGATACTTGTTGATTCAGTGAACTAGAATCAAAAAGAAATTTAAACAAAAAGAAAGGAAAAATCATTATTATCATACGTAAGAAGTGTACCATTACGATACCATGTATATTGAGGCGAAGGATTTCCATTTAATGATGAACATATCAATTTAACAGTTTGATATTCTTGAATATTTTCATCATTAATTGTTAATAATGGAGATTCAGGTTTAACTTTATAGAAGCAGAAAAAAAAACAACATATGTGAATAACTCGAATGAAGAAAAGGTTAATTACGTAATGAAATCATTTCTTACAACAAGAAAAAAAAAAGAGAAGACATCTATCATCATTATTCTTATCGATATCGCGATTGTTCTCTATGTTTCTAAAAGAGAAAATAATTTATCGTGTTTCTCAACTTACTAAGTACAACAAGATTATATTGACAAAGAATTGTTTGAGTTTCAAATGTTTGACATATATATGTTGTTGAATCATGTCGTTTAACATGATATAATTCTAATGTACTAAATTGATCTGTTAAATCTGTACGATAGAGTTTTTCATATATTAATGGAACCTTTCCATTTATTGCTATTATTAAATCATCATCATTTGAACGTAATTTTTTCCATTGTATTATATTATCTTTTGATATAAAATTTTTTGGTAAGGAACAACGAAATTCTACATGTTCATCATATGTTACTGTCATATTTTCCAAACGTAGAAAACCATTGGCTAATCAACAATAAAAATTAAATAATTAATTAGTTTATTCATAAAATAAACAGGAAAGAAAAAAAAACTTACATCGAACGATTAGAATAAATAAAAAAATGATGAAACCATTGTAATACATTTTTTTTTCTATTTTAATTGTTGTTATTCTTGTCTTTTGAGAATTGTATGTCCGACGGTTAGTCAACAATCGTCATTCTCTTTTCTTCTTTTTCTTCTTCTTTATGATTGTTTTTCGATCTAACAATGTATAAGTTGTTCGATATATATATATATGTATAGAAATGGATGCACTACACTGCACTCTCGTTCTCCCGTTTCTTATATTCTAAAATACAAACAATAAACGTTCACATATATATGTATATGTATTGAATGAACGTCTCGTCTTTCTCTCACTTCACTAACTTCCGATCTCCCCATTCTCTCGTCAACAATATCAAGCAATAGCTTTCGAAAAGAGAGAGAGAGAGAGAAGAAAAAAAAGGTGATGATGAACGACAATTTGTACATTTCTCTTTTTCACACATAAAGAAGAAAAAAAAAAGAAAAATATAACGTCGGTCATTTTCAATCATACAGTCTGTTCAATAGCCAACGGCTCGAATTTTGAAGTGTGTATGACTATCTCAATGTGAGATCGAATCCAACCCTTATTCAATTACCTGTTGTGTCGTCGTCAGATGTACTGTCTAACTAATGATGACGAGTATGATGGACAGTCGAGCATGGATAATTTTGCTGCAAGCATTATACAGATGTTATCGAAAGGAACAAGAAAGAAGAGAAAAAGAATAAAGAAGCTTGACCACGTAATCGCACCCGTTTTCTCTTATGTATATGTTAGGAAACACACGTTCTCAATAAACGATAGAAAGACCACAACTACATCGTTAAATTAGCCATCTCTATCTATATGCATAACCGATGCTAGATGATGACATAACTCTTATTCATGTTATATTCTACGTTCAATTATCGTTTTGACACCTGTTGTTGACATGTTTTGCAAAAAAAAAATGAGAGAGAAAAAAAACTAAATGAAATGAACTTATTCGTTTCTTTTTTGTTCTCTTGTATTTTGTAGAAACGAATGATTTCTTTATTCTTCTTTTCTCGTGCTGTTAGATAATTCAATGTTCTGACAAAATATTTATTTATTTTGTCAGATGGTATAAAGAAAATGAATGAATATGAACGAGAAGAGTGATAAACATTGAAGAATAATAATTATATTAGAAAGGAGGCACATGGCATTTTGAATACTAACATACCCGGGATATCTTCATCAACTGGTAGACATGGTTGAATCAATTAGATATGAAGTGAGGAGAAGAACAGAGAGTGAGAGAGAATAGTGCTCTTGTTCATCATGATTACTAGTGGAAGATGTTGGATGCCGCAAGCGCCAAGATGACCCTTGTCAATCAGCATCAGTGAAGAGAGACGGCGTAAAGATAAAATTCACTGTAGACATACTCATATCTTTTATTCAAATAATTGAACTCGTTCACTCTATTGAGATGAGTTGTTCATTTGTAATCAAGATGATAGTATAAGAATCAATTAATTGAAGCAAAACGAAAAAAGAAAAGATAATTTAATAGAATATAATCAAATGGAATTTAAATTGAAGGCGGAGGAAATCATATATATATACATATATATATATATACAGAATAATCAATTTTATCTATTACTTACTCACCTGTTCAAAACAACAAGGACATCAATTTATGATCGATCAGGCAATATCTTTGTATACATATATCAACAAACAAAAAGAAAAAAAGACTTCACTCGTCATCGATCTTATCTCGTGTTCTTCTTGTTCAATATATTTATACTCAGCAGGGGTAGAAACAGACGACGACTCTCGAAAGTAAAGTTCATCATATAAATGTATGCGCTCGTCATCGATTTCGTTAATCAACACACAAACATTGTGAGCACTACCACCATGACTAGTGAATGATGATTTGCTTCTTCTTCTTCTCTATCCATCTACATACGTATATCTATCCATATATATATATATATATATATATTTAGATAGATAAGATTTGTTGCTCTGCTCATTCTTCTTTCTATCTATTCCCTCTTCATGCAAAAAGACCATAATTCATCAGAAGAATGATGGCGACTCATGTATATCTACTTATATTTATATATATACACGTACGTGAAAGAAAAGAATGACTTTTATTATTAATCCAGTATGTTTCGAACTATCATCTCTGTATATGGATGAACAAATGAAGAAGAAAAAGATGAGCCCTAAGGCTGTCTTTTGTCACGCTGAGTTTTTTTTTATTTTTGATAAATCGATATAAGAAGAAAAGACGAAAAAGAAGAGAATTTATGTCGTTAGTTGACCAGTATAAATCTTTTACAATTGAATCACGTCGTGTAAATATCATGCTTGACTTTAATGTTAATTTTTGTCAACATATATATATACTAAATAAACGAATCATTTGCTTGTTGTCAATCAAGATAAACAAAAAGAATAAAAAAAACAAAGACATTCTTCTTTTCAATATCTCTATATATCTTTAGTAGGTATATTATTTATTATGTCAATGTAATTCAATGACAATTCGATCGATAAAATTAAGAAGAAAAAAAAAGCATTTATCTTATCTAGCTATATTATATTGTGAAAAAGTTTTGTTCATCAATGGCGGTATTTCCTGATGATTTTTTATTATATTTTTATCTATCATGTTATCTACCGAGAACAAAAAAAAAACGAGTTCAAAAGTTATCGTTATATTGCTTTCTCATTGGGAAATATTTCTTCAAAGTTCAATATAGATATATATATATATGTAAGCATACCATAGAGATGTCAATCTATCTTTTTGCATGATAAAGACATACACAAATAGATCAATTGCACTAGTTTCAATCGATGGATAGTATTCGTTTATTTCCTATTAGAATGATATGTCGGACAAAAGATCAACTAGAACAAGAAATGACTATCTATATGAACTTCAGATTTGTAAAAAAAAAAAAAAAGAAGTTAATTAGACTTATCTATGATTTTATACTAGAAAAAGGAAATATTAGTAATACTACTTCGTAATGGCTTAGAAAAATAAACAAAAGCACCGTTTTGATGAGATTGAATATCAATTGGAAGATTTTTATAATGATTCTTCATTAATTTTGTCTATTTAAAGTAAATATTAATTAACAATGAATAGTGTTTTAAATCATTGAAATTAAACTGAATTGTTTGAAAATATTGATGTAGATCGTGCAGATGCAAAGATCATTTGTGTTTAACAGAAGAACAATTGATCTTTGTTTTTTCATGTTCATTTTCAATTTATATATCTGTATCGATTGCGTATTTAAATCATAAACTTTACTCTGAAGGTTAACATATAGGTTTGCTTTAATTGCATCTTTTTACTTTACTATCCGCATTTTGTATTTGTTTTATTCGTTATAAAAAGATCGATACCATTATTATCAACAAAAGAAAGAAAATTCTTTCATGATGAATTTTATATTCAAATTTAATGATTTTAAAAGCAAACTTTTAGTGTATATCAAATATTCATATTATAATCTTATTGAAAAAGTCTTTTTAAAATAAAAGTTATGAAAGAGATTGATAGTAATTTCAAGTTATACATTTACTTGATTTAACCTACTGTATAATGTTTTCTAGTAGTTTTTCAAGGTAACTATTATTCAATTCATTTTGTCAAATGTATCAGCTATCAACATTGTTTGAAACATATAAATGTAAACAACAAGTACAAGAATACTAATTGTATGTAACTGTCAATTAATATAGTTATGGTTTTTATGCATCTGAATACTATTTGACATGTAATAATCTAAAACATTCGTTTGGAAGAATATGTTCTGTAAAATTAACTTCACTTACATTCTTATGTTATTTTCTTTATCAGTGTCAAAAATGAATCTTCGAAGTTATCCATTCATGTTAATGGCGTACTGATCAAATAACTCACTGTTACTGGTTTCTTCTTCTATCAGTTCTAATATCAAGTTGATATTTCATGACTGAGAAAATTGTAGGGGCAAAAGAGAGTGACATAACTTTTTGTTAATTTCTAAAATTGTTATATACGTCAGTCTTATGTACTTTTCCATCTATTTGTATGATGATAGTTAGTTTCGAAAAAATTATTTGATTTCTACACCTTTTAATGATGTTAAAGAAGCAATATTTGATAAAGAAGAGAGAAGAAAACCAGTACAATAAGGTGAAAAGTAAAAGAAGCTCAATAAAAAAAAGCAGCACGGTAATTTGCATTTTATTTTTACTAGAACTTCAATAATTATAACAAACAAAACGAGCGTATGACTATCAAAGGAAGAATGAGAAGAATTGATTATTCTCAGACTTTGACAGTCTATACAGTATGACTATATTAGTAAATTGCAAAATTATTGAATGTTTTGAGCAAAAAGAATATTTCGACTTGAAATATGATAAGTAATACATTTTACTCTACGCAATGAGACACGAAAACGAATAAATTTTTCTAACTACCATCATTAGAATGATTGAGATAAATGAGAACAAATATTCACGAAAAATACTTGCAGTTATAGATAGAAAGAACTTTGCTGATATGCTACGATATATGATTGAGACTCGAAGTTTGGTAAATCTCATCTACATGAAACTAATAATGTATTTTATACTACATATGTTCATGATATGATATCATCTACAGTAAAATGACTTTTAATAGACACAATTTAGAATCAATTCGCAGTAATTTTCATAGTATGTAAGATAAGAACTACATTCGTGTTGCTATTTGCGATAGTGTTCGATTACAATTAGTTGACTTAATAATCAAAGTTTCATCTGAAACTGCAATAACATAAGAGAGTTATAGGTCAAGCAAAATGAAAAATCAGCGCGTGACATTAAGTATGTCAATTAAATTTTGTAAGTTTCGTTTTATAGTTTTGATAAGCAAGAAACAATACCATTGCCTTTTCTTTTTTTTAACAGGTTTATTTTCCATTGACTGAATTTCATTCTATCATTACCACCATCATTTTTAGATGAATTGTTTCATCTCATGTTCATTTCTAATAGTGTATAACAGAAAACTGAACAATGTCACTGTATAACTGATATTAAGGAAAAGCCACTACACAAGTCACGACAAAAATTCCAATGAGTCTTATTCGACATCTTCTAACAGAAGCTAGTAACACAAGTCGATTTTTGAGATTTTATCTGCTTAGTATCTTAGGTTTAAAGATTGATTAATAAACACGTCAAAATATTGAACATTTTTATGAAGGAGTGCAACAGTAGCGTGATGATCTATTGGAATTAAAATTCAATCAGCTCTGATGTCAGACAAAACAGATGGATATAAAATTGAAAACTATCATATAGAGGTGACTCTGTGCTTTTGCTTTGTTGATATTCATAGCAGAAATGAAACTACATAAGAATCAAGAGAGATTTTGTAAGTTGAGTGTAATATCAACACAAATTAGTGAGAAGACTCAATGAAATACGAGAAATCAAACAGTTATTAGTGTAGAAATTATGTCGAACATATTTTAATGTTCAATAATTTCTATGATAAAGATTCTTGTTTGGATTAAAATATCATTTTCATTATCATACAAAAAATTCGAATTATGATTGTAAATATATCTTCGTTTTAATAATCTCGAAGCTTGGAAAACAACAAAGTCCACATAAACTTGGCTTTTTTTGACTTTCTGTAAGAAAATTGAACATGATATTAAAGATCGAAAAACGGATGCCATCGAGTTGATCATCAGATTTCATGCTGGCCTTCCAACTTAATGATATTTTTGCGATAACTCAGCAATTTCTTGATGAATCATTCTCATCTTCGAGCTTGACTGATATATTGATGAGACGATTCTGTGCACAAAATTTCATCACAAATCGGACTACCCTTTCAAGAGTTATCATGTAAACGGCCGGCCGGCCGGTCGTACACACTGACCGATTCTATAGTGTACTCACTTTTTGTGTACACAAAAAGTGTTTTCTTCACGAATTTCTTATTATTGGTCAAACTTTTGATGATAAAGTTGTATTTAAATCTATTAGTCTTAAGAACTGAATACTAATAATAGAATCAAATCTTAATATGAAAGTACCTGTATGAAATTATAGATTTGAAGATGAGCATGCAATAGTTTTTCTAGCTGTTTCTGTTCGACAAATACATGATAGATTATTGTATTGATCTAGTAATATACTCAAAAGTACGTGATAGACTGCTATTATCAACATGATCATAAAACAAGTTCTCGAAATAAAAGAGATTAGTATAATATAGATGTTCGGGATTCAAGGTCGACGTATCTTTTAATTTTTATATAATAATTCTCTGATTATATAAATCATAGTTAAAATATCTACATACTATATAGAACTAATAGATGAAATATACGTTTTCGGAAACGATAATGTTATCAACGTTTTATTCGTATATGCCAAGGTCGAGCAACACAAAAGAACTTCACTAGTATTTTTGAATAGAACATATATTTCACTGTTT